TGGTTCTGCTGCTGCTGCTGGAGGAGCCCTTGACCGTGGCTCAGCGCCATCAGAGCCAGCAGCAGCAGGGGAAGCAGCAGCAGCAGCAGCAGCAGCAGCAGGAGCAGCAGCAGCACTTTGTCGAATGACAGGTTTGAAGAAGCCAAGGAGACAAAAAAGTCTATCTCTGTCGTGGCTTCTTCTTGCTTCCTTTCCCAGCAGCAAATGCTCCCCTGTCAAGTCCACACTTTCAAACAAGTGCTGCTCCCGGTACAAACCTGCAGCAGCAGCAACAGCAGCAACAGCAGCAGCAGCGGAAGGAGCAGCAGCAGCGCCAAGGAGCAGAAGAGCTAAGTCACTGGAAGAACTCGCAGCGCCTACGCCAGCAGCAACTGCAGCAGCAGCAACTGCAGCAGCAGCAACTGCAGCAGCAATACCTGCTCTGGATTTTGGGTTTGAAAGAACAAACTGCTGCGCGTGGTGCAGCGACGGAGCAGCAAAAGTCATGTAGTCAGCGACATACGGCGATTCTGCTGCTGCTGCTGCTGCTGCTGCTGGCGTAGGCGCCGCGAGCTTCTCCAGCTTCCCTGGCACATGGTAAGGAGCAGCAGCGGCACCGTCAGCAGCAGCAGCACCCTCAGCAGCACCCGCAGCAGCAGCAGCAGGTTTGAGCTCGTGTCTGATGCTGCGGAGCTGCAGCAGCGACAAAACTCTTGCTGCTGCGTCTTGCTGCTGCGCCGAAGCCCTCGCCCAACTCAAGTGGCTCAAGTGCAGCCGCCTGTGGCCGTAGACGTCCCACAGACAGAGCGCCAGCTGCTGCTGCTGCTGCTGCTGCTGTTGCTGCTGCTGCTGCTGCTGCAGTTGCTGCTGCTGCATTAGGAAGGGCAGCTTGAGCAGAGACAAACAGGAGTAAACGCGCCAGCCAAAAGGGACGGAAGGAGACGCCTACAGCAGCAACAGCCCTAAACCCTAAACCCTAAACCCTAAACCCTAAACCCTAAGCTTAGACGTAGGTTTTAGCCTCCGCTCTTTCTCGCACTCGTCTGCCTTCCTAGCAGCTCACAAGGCGTAGGGTTTAGGGCCTCGAGTTTAGGGTTTAGGGTTTAGGGTTTAGGGTTTAGGGCTTACGAGGTCGGACTCTCTGAGGGGCCGTTTGGGGGAGTGGCCGAAGGGGGGCTTGGAGGCTTCGCGGGGGAGGTGTGCGGGGCTTCCGAAGCTTTCTGGAAACGCGAAAAGGCGAAAAAGAAGCGCCAAAACGCCGGAATTTTCGCAAATAAATCTTTTATTTGAATTTGTTTTTAAATTTGATTCTTTTTTTCGCTTTTAATTTCAAAAATGCGCCAGAAAAACCCCAAAAGTCCCGAAGTTCAAAAATTCAAAAATTCAACTTTCCACCAGCTTGCCGCACCCACCGAAACTTCTTTTTTTCCTTTTCATTTCCTTTTTAATTTAATTTGATTTAATTAAATTAATTAGTTAATTAATTAATTTATTTATTTATTTATTTATTTATTTGTTTACTTATTTATTTATTTTCATTTACCTTTTACAGGCTCCCAAAAAGGATTATAGCGGTGGTACATTCGCACATTGTCTGCGCTGAAGTAAGGGCCTCGTTCATCTTGCTGCTGCTGCTGCTGCTGCTGCTGCTGCTGCTGCTGCGTTTTGGGCCTGAGGGCATCCTGCTGCTGCTGAAAGCGCCTAATTTCCTCAGGTGTCAGCCAAGGTGCTGCTGCTGCTGCTGCTGCTTCGTGCTGCTGCAGCTCAGCATAGACCAGCTGCTGCTGCTGCTGCTGCACCCCAAGGGCTTCTGCTGCATTTGCTGCTGCAGGCAGCTCCATTGAGACGCGCAGCACCGGCGCTTCCCGCTGCGCCTGCAGCAGCCGCTGCAGCTCCTGCTGCTGCTGCAGCTCCTGCTGCTCCTGCTGCTCCTGCTGCTGCCGCTGCTCTGCTTTGCTGCGGCTGGTGTCCAGCATTACATGCCACGAGGGCTTCTTAGCATGCAGCTGCAGCGACACCCGACGAACTCTGCTGCTGTTGCTGCTGCAGCTGCTGCTGCAGCTGCTGATGCTGCTGCTGATACTGCTGCTGATGCTGCTGCTCACCACGCGAAATGCACCCACAAAGTCTTGCATAAGCAGCAGCAGCAGCAGCAGCAGCAGCGCTGTAGCAGCACTGCTGCCTCCTGTGTGTGCCATTTCCACATATGGCGAAACGGAAGACACGTAGCTGCAGCAGCAGCAGCAGCAGCAGCTGCTGCTGCTGCTGCTCAGGTCCAGCCTCAAAGACAGCTGGAAGCCTTCAATACATTAACATTGTGCAACTGCTGCTGTTGCTGCTGCTGCTGCTGCTGTTGTTGCTGCTGCTGTTCTTGCTGCGGCTGCTGCATCTCTCATCAGCTGCCACAGCGCAGAGACGCACAGCATTGCTGCAGCAGCTTCATGCTGACGAGTCTGTCTCCGTTTGCTGCTGCTGCTGCTGCTGCTGGTGTTGCTGCTGCTGCTGCTGCTGCTGACGTTGCTGTTGCTGCTGCTGCTGCTCCTGTTAAAGAAATCTCAACACACTAGCCGGTCCTGCTGCTGCTGGCGGCACACAAGCCCAGTCGAGCGTGAAGGGTTTAGCGAGGATTTAAATAGGGCTTAGGGTTTAGGGTTTAGGACAAGGGTTTAGGGTTTAGGGTTTGGGGTTTAGGGTTTGGCGGTTAGGGTTTATCGTTGGTGTTTTGTGTCCCAAGGCATGTGTCTTCTGCGGCTTCTGTGGTGTACATACACTGCAAAACAAATTAAAACCTTTTAAGTTAATAAGACACTAGCGCTGCAGCAGC